CATTTGAAGAAAAAAAATGTGTAGGCCTATTTTTTTTGTGAATGTCCCAATTGAGGTACAGGATGTGAACATTTCAGATAAATGTTCATGTTATATATTTTGGTTGTATTTGTGAGTTAAAAATGTAGATGGTTGTTTAAAATAGATATATAATATCATAATATCGATATATCGCTCGATATACTCCTGTATCGAATCGTAATCGTATCATAGAATTTGAGGTACCGGCAAATATCGTATTGCTGAGTATGAGAATCGATATCGTATCGTGACGAACCATCCGATTTACACCCCTATGTAATAAGCATGTCTATTTTATGCTAATTAAGTAACGAGTTGAAATAGGCTTTTGTGTTGATACAATTTCACTAATTGTTTATAAGTCACTTATTTTTTTCTTGAATAGCATACTGTTATACATGCAAAATGCATCTGTCTTTTACATGGCCAAATTTTTATGCATAACTAACTTCTATCTTCCTCAGTCTAAAGAGGTCCAGAAAGAGTCTTCATCTCAGGCCACAGAAAAAGTTGCGGCTGTAAAGCCTCCTACAGCCCAATGCAAAAAACGAGTCTTCACAGAGCAGGAGGAAAAAGACACGGGCAATGAGGATGTCATCCAAACCAAGGTTAGCAAGCAGCCAAAAACATGCATTAAGTCACAGTGTTTATTACCCTTATGCTACTTTAATTGGCATTTAATTGGCTTAGTCTGTGCAAGAAAGTAAACAAACATTTTTATATACTCTACTTTTTATTATACATTTTAGAAACCCTGCCTTGAACTACAAGATGAGAAAGTAACAAGGGGAAGAAAGGACGATATTGAAGAGGATGACACTAACAAAGACACTACCAGGTCTGTCTATGTTCTATTTTGATTATATTTGTACACCAGAAATCGGGGATTGAATGAAAACATTACTAATGAAGTTAAAAAGGGATGGATATCCAAGCAGGGATAAAATATGGTGATTATGATGTGGGTTAAGGCTGCACGATTAATCGAATGCGATTGTCATGCGCATCTCGTCAGTAAAGCCGGTTCTGTGATTAGTAGTAAATCTCCAGCACGTGCTTTCAGATGGAGCAGCATTTACTAAAATCATTATTAAATGTGGTATTTTCACGAGCAGCATTTACTACAGAGCCTCCCTCTGAAAGCACGTGAAAATACCACATTTAATAGTGTTTTTACTCCAAACTCACTTCATAACGTCAGTCGAGTGTTAAAAATAAATCCTTCTGTGAGATGATGTGGTTTCTTACACAGAATAAGGCACGCAACATATTTCATAGTATTCTAAGCAGTGATAAAAGCTATGTCGATTAATATTGCATTATTATATACTTTATTATAGTAAAAATTATAATAAGATGAACTCAAATAAACCATATATTGTCATAGTCGTGTGTTTATTAGTCACGTTCTTAGTCACTTCTCCGAGGCGGGCATGAAACGAAAGATTCAGTCGGCGATTGTCTTTTCTTCTCTACTGTGACGTATATCCCGAGTGAAACGGCATCTGAAATGAGAGGGCGGGACTTGATTTCGAAACTTTTGGCTTGTCTCCCGAGGCCACAGGAGGGTGCCATGAGCAAAATAATGCAGCACATAATGTCAACACAGGGAAATAACTGTCTATAAAAAAACGTGCATTACGACGAAATTAACTCTAATTCAAATAAAAAATCTAATATAATTTCGTAAATTGCATAAACATTTATGAACAAAACAGCATCATGTATTTATGCATTGCTTAATTCTCCTAATCAAGATATTCTCCGCATTAAACTTCTATATTTCTCTAATATTTTGAATGCATAACACAGCAGCGGCACATCTCGTGGGCAGCTGTTTCGAGTCTTCGGGTTTTCCGAGTCGTTCGTTCATCACGTGACAGCCCCATAAGTTTAACCTATGCAGTCTGAGCGGGAAAGAGAATTGATTAGTTCATCAATTCAAAAAAATGAAATAATCTTTTATTTTTATAAAAGCATTATAGTTTTGTATTGTTTGTAGTGTGATCAACGCTTGCGTAAGTAGTAGACGTGTTAGGGAAGTAACACGTAACATGTTAAAGGGGTCATATGATGCGATTTTCAAGTTTTCCTTTCTCTTTGGAGTGTTACAAGCTGATTGTGCATAGATAAGATCCCTGAAGTTGCAAAGACTAAAGTCTCAAAACCAAAGAGATATTCTTTATCAAAGTTAAGACTCTGCCACGCCCCCCTAAAACGGCTCGTTCTAACACGCCACACAAAATAATGATCTTTAAAAAAAGCATCATATGACCCCTTTAATTATATTCTGCTAAAATGAACGAAATGACTCGAAAAAAGATTCGTTCATTTTGCTGAACGAGACTCAAAGGTCCGAGTCGGTAAAATGATCCGAACTTCCCATCACTAATTTGGAGTTTCAGCGCCAGAGCGCCCTCTGGCCTTCGAATGGAGATTTACTGCTGATCACAGAACCATGCTTCACTGAAAGATATGCAAGACCATGGCAGTTTCTGCCTAATCGCGATTTATCGCCTTTGCGGTTTAATTTCAATTAATCGTGCAGCCCTATCAGAGAACCAGTGTTAATGCTGTAGATGCTACAAATAGTTTACTTAGCTCATTAAACTGAGATAGGAGAAAATATTACAATTACATGCATCATATTTAAATAATTTAAATAACTGTGAGGTAATGCAAAATGAGATGGGAATTATAATAGCTGTCATCACAGTTCTGTATGTTGCCAAAATAGAAGAGGTTACTAATGTTTTATTGGTTGCAAGCTGTTTTGCCTGTTTTGTATATGGCTGCGACTGTTCTCCTCGCTTCAGATATTAAATGTATTACCTTTGCAGAATGAAACTTAGTTTTAACCCTTAGCCTGCCTTTATAGACGAATAAAGTACAAATTAAATCAAACAAACACTATTTATTTAACTTGTATAGTTTGCCTCGAAACTGAAGATAAAATAAAGTCAAATGAATCGGACAATTTTTGAACAGCTTGTTTTAAAATCAAACCGATTCACTTACGGTTCGGACTTTCCAATGTAAAATAACACAACAACACGGCTTGAAGATACATCGTTTTAAACCGTTACTATTGCGCTACTAACATAGAAGTTAGTAGCGTCGCTAGCTTTTTAGTTCCCCCCCAAAACTGCATGTAGCTCGTTTTAAGAGCTCGTTCTTGAATTCGTGTGAATTACGAACAGGCAATCAGTGCGGCTGCCTCTCAGCCGGTGATAATGGGGTCTTGCTGCAGTGAGTCTCGCGCACCTCCCTTTCTCTCATCTAAACATGGCTGTACTGCGCGTTTGACCAATAACACGGGGCTTAATGTGGCCCGTTAGCTTTGGGCGAGCGGTGTTCAATGAATTCGCGAAGTCCCGTCCGTTTGTAGTCATTAGAGAGGCGCTGATAGGTGCGTGATCTCACTGTGCGTTACGCTGCTCTACGGGGAGGAAAGACCGATGATGCTCAGCGCTGCACTCATGTACTCGCATCCCACAATGCGGCGGAGCGGGTTTTGTCATATTTCTTTTTATGTGCTAGAGATATGTTAGTATCAGAGCGCACTTTATTTGAAACGACTCGTATTCCGCTAACGTTACTTTTGTCGGCCGTGTGAACGATCTAAAAGCGAATGAAAGATTGAAACAGTGACGCTTCGCCACGCGTGTCACTCCACTCTGCGGGATGAGCGCTGCATTTAGTCGACATGTAGCCTGGAGCTTTAATTTGGTTTACCCAAAAAATCAAAACCATGTCATTGTTTATTCACTCTCATGTTGTTTCAATCTGTATGACTTTTTTTCTTAAATGGAAAAGAAGATGCGATGTTAGGCAGAATATTAACCTCGGTCACATGCATTTCTGAGACTGAGACTGTTATTCTGCCTAACATCTGTTGAGGGTGTGTAAATGATGACTTTTCATCCCTTTAAAATCCAAAAACACTTTTACTCTGTAGGCTTTTACTGTGGCTATAGCAAATTGTGACTAATTATTTTTACATTCTCCCCTCTTTTGTTGCCCCCTATTCTTTTTGCTCCTGTCTTTCTCAGTAGTGAGGTGAAGGAGGCTGTCATGGCGGAGCCTGAGAAGGTTCCAGAGAGCAGTGAGGAGGTAAGCGCACAGAGGAGTGCTGGGCTGATCCAACTCTACCATTCGCCACATATCCTCCACATAAAGAGGCAAACAACGTTTTATAAATGGCTGTCATCCTTTCCCCTATATTTTTCAATACAGATGCATTATTATTACAGGTACATGCAGGCATTACTAATTATGTTTACTTGTACATAAGCTAATTTAGCAGCTCTGTGTATTGTTTGCCCTTTTTGTGGTCAGATGATGTGTGAACCTTTGCTGAAGCTGTCCTAGACAGAAGCAGCAGGGGGCACTCTCTCACTTTGGCTGATGTTTAAAACCCCCTTGATTGCTTTGTTGTAAAGGTGCTCATGCCTCTTCCATTGCCTTTATTGGTACCTGCATACAACTACTACTACTACTACTTCTACTGCAGCATCTGTTCCACTGTCTCCAAGCGCCATGGCTTTACCTGATAGGCCCTTGAGTCTGCTCTGCAGTGCAACACTCCAGGCAACAATGGCCACGTTTCCTCAATGGCGTTGGCTGGAAGCACCTGTTGATTGGACTGATAATGAAATGCTGAGTAATGTGGGTGTGACATTTTGCTGAGTGTCAGTTTGTCTCAACTTGGCAGCAAGGGTGGAACTGAGATTACCAGAAACCATAAGCAAATAAATGGACATCTTCAGGACTGTTCAATGTTACTTTTTTTGGTTTTAATGGAGACATTTCCAGTGATTGTCCCAGTTCTTCACTATATAATGGGACTAGTTTCTCTCTTTATCCTGCAGAAAAACCTTGATGTGTTTTCTTAATTTCCAAGGAAATTTTGAACTCCGTTTTCATTGCACTGTAATACAACAACTGGCTCTGCTGGATTTTACAGCCTTCTCATTTTTCTCTGGACTATCATGATCAAACCTAACTGATAGTTTGAAAATTGACTTTATCTGGTTCGTTGTTTTGTGGCTGCTTGAAAGCAGTGAAACTGCTTCATTCAACCTGAACAGACAGAAACCTTGTGCAGTCTCTCTCGTAACATGGACATCTTCACAAATACATCTGACATGAGTGTGAAGTGACTCAGTCTTCTGAAAGGTTTCTCAGCAGTTTGTTTGAAAGACTCCTCCCAATTTCCATTTTCATGCCAATACGATGGACTTCAAAAAAGACACTCAGAGCCTCTCAAACTCCACCCACATTGTTCTCCATAAGAGTTTTTCTGCCAGCCTGCTCTCAGATCTGTGCCCAAACTTCCCAGCCTTCTTTGATTGGACAGTTGTTGCCTAGATACAGTACATGCAGACGTGCGATTGGGCCATTCCCAACCCAGTGAAGAACGTGTCAATGGTACCAGGAAATAAGTAGTCATTCTCCATTTTCTACTTTTTGCGTTTTGCCTAGACAATGCTAATATTTGCAGAGACTCCCTGGTAACCTTAAAATGGAGCTGTTGACTACAGGATAAAGAGTAGATGTATGTATGTATCTATGTGTGTGTGTGTGTGTGTGTGTGTGTGTGTGTATATATATATATATATATATATAAGGCCACTGCAGAGCTAATGTAAAAAAAAAAAAAAAATGTAATTCCTCACTACAGTAACTGCCTCAAAGGATATTTCAACCTGAGGGGCCACTCAGTGTGATAGATAACTGCAGCAAAGCCTTTAAAAAGTATTTTTGTGTAGGAGAGGACAAGACCACATCTTCAGAGCAGAAATAGATCTTTGAAATTATCAAATTCCAACCACATGAAGAACATGCACACACGCTGTGTGTGTGTATACACGCTCTGACTGAAGAGGCGGTCTTTCCTAATAGATTCCCTTTCATATCTCTTTACTCAATTCCTTGTTGATGGCTCACTCTATTCAGTTTTATCTCTTTCTTACATGCACACACATTTTTTTCCCACTCTGAACCCTGTACTTTCTTTCCATATATACTATCTCACCTTTTCCCATGGCTTGGGTGTGTTTGTTCTCTTTCAGAGCACCACGCCAAAGACCTTCTCTGCCCGAAGGATTTCTCTCGGCAGTGAGTATCTCTACGTTTCCCCTTAAGTAATTAATTTAGAGAGATCATTCACTGTGCAATACTAGTAAAACGTTTGGGGTCGTGTGATATTTATTTATTTTTTCTTCTTTTACTTTGTTTTTGAAAGAAGTGTCTTATGCTTACCAAGGCTGCATTTATTTGATCAAAATAAAAACTTTAACAATAATATTGTGAAATATTATTACAATTTAAAATAATTTGTTAGTCCTGAATTTTCAGCAGCATTGTTCCAGACTTTAGTGTCACATGGTCCTTCAGAAATAATTTAATAATATGACAGTAATATTTCTTTTACTGACATTTTTGTCCAATTTTATGCATCCATGCTAAATAAAAGCATTAGATGGATGGTTCACCCAAAAATGAAAATAGTCATTAATTACTCACTCTCATGTCGTTCCAAACCCGTAAGATATTTTTGATGAAATCGGAGTGCTTTCTGACCCTCCATAGACAGCAAGGGTACTACCACGTTCAAGGCCCAGAAACGTAGTAAAGACATTGTAAAATAGTCCATGCGACATCAGTGGTTCAACTGTAATTTTATGAAGCTACGAGAATACTTTTTGTGCACAAAAAGACTAAAATAATGTCTTTATTCAACAATTCTTCTCCACGTCACATTAGCGCCATTTTGGAGAGTATCACGACGCATGCGTGTGTTTTGATCTGCACGTAAACAACGCATGCGCATGGTGCTGCTGACGTAGAACATGCATGCGCTGCACCTTGTTTACGTTCAGAGGAAAGCATGCGTATGCGTCATACTCTCCAAAATGGCGCTAGGGTGACACAAAGGAGAACTGTTGAATAAAATCGTTATTTTAGTCTTTTTGTGCACAAAAAGTATTCTTGTAGCTTCATAAAATTGCAGTTGAACCGCTGATCGTCACATGGACTATTTTGTCAATGTTCTTGGAACCTTTCTGGGCCTTGAACGTGGTAGGACCCTTGCAGTTTACGGAGGGTCAGAGAGATCTCTGATTTCATCAGAAATATTGTAAATTGTGTTTGTGCTAGCCCTTTTAATTTCTTAAAAAATCGTATTGACCTGGCAACTCTAAGTAGTGTATTGTTTTACGGAGTCTTAAGACAGTGTTGTTAAGTTTGAAATCCAAAAGAAGATGATGCTTTAAAATCAAGATTTCAAAGATTGCCATATGATGTCTGTCTTCAGGCAGCAAACAGTCTCCTGGGGTGGTGAGTTCGGAGGGGGAAGCGGAGGCCGCAAGCAGTGCTGGCGCTGGCAGGAAGAGGAGATGGGGCTCCAGTACAGCTGTCACTGCCAAGAAACCCTCCATCAGTATCACCACAGACTCTTTGAAGGTCAGATAAAATATGAAATAAAAATAAGTTAAATATTCCTGTCCTCCGTCTCATACCTCTGGATCTTTTTTTTTTGCGAATTTCTTTTTCTTACCCACTGACTATCTATACTTTCCCTCAGTACTCTAGTGTGGAAGAGGCGATGGCCACTCGTACAGCACTACATGGGGTTAAGTGGCCCCAGAGTAACCCTAAGTTCCTCAGTGTTGATTTCTGCACACAAGAGGAGGTAAGAATTTTATTTAATTGGAGGAGATTAATGTTATGTATTCAGTTTTCTTTTTTTTTTTTTATGGGAACTAATTGTCTCTCAATCCTGGTGCATCCCCATCAGTTGGACTTCCACAGGGGTTTGGGTCCCGCAGGAGAAAAGCCAACAGAGGAGCCTCGTGGGGCGGCAGCCGCTGGGCCTGGCCGTCCAGTACCCCCGCCTCTCCTTTCAGAGCGTGATCAGTGGGCAGAACGAGAAAGGGAAATGGAAAGGAGGGAGAGGACGCGTGCGGAGAGGGAATGGGACAGAGATAAAGTGAAAGACTTCAGCAAACCTGGAGAGGAGCGGGAAGCTGGGGCCAGAAGATCGCGTTCACGAGATCGCGAAAGGCGGCGCAAGGAAAGAGGAAAGAGCAAAGAGAAGAAAACAGATAAAAAGGGTGAGAAATTTGAAAGTCCTCAGTTACTTTTTGTGCGGTGGAGTTTATTATTATTACTATTATTTGTTTACTTTTATTGATATTTAAATTGTATTTTTATTTGTTAGTCTATGTGCATTTTATATATATTTGTTACAAATAATTTCTTATTTTTGAACTTTTTCAATTTTGTTTTCATATTTAAATATTACATATAAATATTTGTTGTATAAATATTTAATATTTAACTTATCAAAATATTTAAATAGTATTCGTTTTTTATGATTTAAATGTTAAATAATTTCAATATTTTATTATAATTATTTAAATGTTAAATATAAATGTGACCCTGGACCACAAAGCCAGTCATAAGTCGCACGGGTATATTTGTAGCAATAGCCAACAATACATTGTATGGGTCACAATTATTGAATTTTCTTTTATGGCAAAAAAATTAAGATAAGTAAAGATCATGTTCCATGAAAATATTTTGTAAATTTCCTACTGGAAATATATCAAAACTTAATTTTTGATTAAGAATATGCATTGCCAAGGACTTAATTTGGACCGCTTTAAAGGCGATTTTTCTCTCTCTATATATATACATTTTTTTTTTTTTTGCACCCTCAGATTCCAGATTTTTAAATAGTTGTATCTTGGCCAAATATATTGTCATATCCTAACAAACCATACATCGATGTAACGCTTATTTATTCATGATGTATAAATCTAAATTTCAAAAAATTTACCCTTATGACTGGTTTTGTGGTCCAGCGTCCACAATATTTTATAAATATTATATTTAAATCTATTGTTATTATTAGTTAACTTTAAATATCTACATTATACTATATTGTTTTTTACATAATTTATATATACTCTATACTTGACTATAAATATATTATAAAAAATATATATATTATTTATTGGCTTTTTTTGTGTTCGTGTCTTTTTAGAAAAAGGACCAGAGGATCCACCTGCTAAACTGCTGGATGACCTCTTCCGCAAAACCAAAGCGGCTCCGTGCATATACTGGCTCCCCCTGACTGAGGAGCAGGTATATTTCTTTGCACGTTTTAGTTACTTATTAGCAATGTTTGCTAAGGAAAACATTTTCTGTTTTTATGATGTTATGCCAGTGCTCATTACCCATCGCACTTTGCATTGCAGGCAGCACAGAGGGCAGCGGCTCGTGCTGAACGCATGAGGGAAAGAGAGAAGAGGAGGAAGGAGATGGAAGAGGAGGATAAGAAACGCGAGGAGGAGCGGCGAGAGAGGATGAAGACCGGCGGGGCCACCAGAGGGGAAGGTGAGAGAGACCGTGACAGAGAACGAGACCGAGACAGAGGTCGAGAAAGGGAGCGAGAGGGGGATAAACGGAAGGAGGGATACCGCAGGCCTGGCGGAAACAGTGCAAGCGGGAGCAGGAGGTCACGAAGCCACAGCGACCCTCCGCTCCGAGATCGACGACACTAAGGGAAGCCTGGAACTGTCCAGTTTGTGACCCCTGTTCCTGTATGTGCAGCTCTATGCCTACCTTCCTGAGGACCAACTCAGACTTTATAAAAACACACACATGCACACACACTCTGCGTAAAGACACACGGGTGCACACACACACACACATTGGGACCATGGTGGTGCTGTGTCTCCATGTAGACTCTTCTCGTTGTCTCTTGACTGGGCTTTAAGACTCCTGGTGTTCATTTCCCACCACAGTGTTAATGGACTTCTGGTATAAATGGGTCGGACTGCAAGACGTCCTCCTGGTTTGGTGACATTCTCTTTCTCCTTCAGTGTAGTGTCGACACAGATCTGAAAGAGTGAAGCTGGGATCAGAAAGATGCTCTGAAAGCCTTCAGCGTGATTTAAGTCCTGATCACTACTTTGCCTCTTGTTTTCCTCACATTCCTTGTACCTTTTTTGTCTCGTATTGTCTGCCTTTTACCACCCCTTTGCTGTTAGCAGGTTGCCATGGAGAATGGGATGCATATTTAACCTTTTCACATTTGGTTTTTAATTTTTTTATCGTTTTAGCATAAAAGCTGACATTTTGTTTTCTTTTAATTTTTTTGTTTTGTTTACTCCTGTAAGTGCTGAATGTACAAATAATAAAAAGGTTACATCTAAGAACTGAAAACAAAGTTCTTTCTTGGTTCTTGTAGGGGATCAGCTGTGGGTTTGCGTTGCATCTGCATCACTCTGTTTATAATCAGCTGAGCTGTGCAATTGGCACCTAATGCACGGATTCTGTTGACAGCTGTCCAACATTTATTTTCAAGCTTATTCAGCCACTTTATAGTCCGGATTCATAAATGGGTCTGAGAGTTTTATTTCTTCCATCAAAGCAAGTAGGTGATGCTTTTAGTTTTTGGCCTGCTGTTTAAAATGATTTTATTTTCAACCATATCATTATACAGTCTTAAAGGGGTCATCGGATGCCCATTTTCCAGAAGTTGATATGATTCTTTAGGGTCTTAATGAAAAGTCTATAGCATACTTTGGTTAAAATTTCTCAATGGTAGTGTAAAACAACGCCCTTTTTACCCTGTCAAAAGCAGCTCTGTTCACAGCGACCTGTTTCGGTGCATGTCCCTTTAAATGCTAATGAGCTCTGCTCACCCCGCCCCTCTCTTCCATTAGGTGACGAGCGGAGCCTCTCTGAGAGACTGTTACTTTAGCAGCATTCATCGTGAAACTTGCTAACTAGCATATTATTGGGAAAGGCGATTTGCAAAGATTCATTAAACTTATACTCAGTTCTTCTGTAGGTGAAGCTGGATCACAAATGATTAATCCGAACATAGATGCATTTAGGTAGATTGGGGGCCGCATTCCCTTCAAAATCAAAGCTAATCTTCTGCGTCTTCAGCGCCTCAGATGTCAGGAGTAAATGACGACTGCTATGTTCTTTATTACATCCAACAACAAAACAGTCGATTAGTTTTCTGCTCCAGTGTCGAAAACAATGGCGGACTGTAACAGCTCACTCAGGGCGGGTCTATGCTGAAACGGCAGTGTCAATCAACAATCATGGGAGTGGCCTGGGTCTGTGTGACGTCACACAGCCAAGAATCTGAGAATTGCTTGATTTGAGAAAGGGGTTATCTATTAAAATTATTGCATTAGGTGTAAACATACAATCATTATTAATTTATTTTTGTTTTTAATGAATGTAGGTTGTTAATTTAAAAATTGTTCATTGCCAATTTATCATACATTTAATGTTAATTTGTACAAATGTTGATGTATCAGTAAATTTAGAAATTAACATTAACCTAGATTTATACTACCTAGATTTATTTTTACTCTTTTGTACTCACGTTTGAGGCTGATAATATTTTCTTATACTCATCATGACTGCATTTATTTGATCAAAAATAAATAAATAACTATGATTTATATTTTAAAATGTAATTTATTCCTACAATGACAACTAAATTTTCAGCCACATCATCCTTCAGAAGCTACTCTAATATGCAGATTTGCTGATTGAAAACAGTTGTGCTGCTTAATATTTTTATAGAAATTGTGATAGTTATATTTAATATTTTTTTTACTCCCTGGCAGGAGTCAAAAGCAGTATCATTGTTCACATACCACAAGGAGGCAGACTTTCCACAAATCTAAATTTACAAGTCACATGCTTCTGTCTCTCAGTCTGCCCTTTTAGTCAAAATGAAGGGTAAAAACCAGCTCCTTTATCTCATCCAATTTTAAGCAACAAAACCTTACTAATGTCATTAAGCATATCTGTATAGGTAGATTATGATTGGTTGTGTGAAGAGGAAGGTCATTTGTTACAGTTCCAGACTCATTATCTCTAAAACCTATTGTTGGCTGGTTACGTGTTGCGTACGAGCAGGTAAATATAATGCCTCAGAAAATGTTCACACCCTGTCTGCGTCTCAACTCCCACCCTTCTATTTTTACAGCTTTGTTAGCTGTTAAGGGCCCTCTTCCTCTCTTCACTGCTTTGTCTACCTTCTCTCTCTCTCTTGCCTCTTTCCCTCCATCTCCATGCATGGTCTTTGACGTCCTTCCTGTCGAGCTCAGCATAGGTCCTCTGTAATTAGTGCCCTGGTGGCTGAGTGGAGCATTTTTCCGGCCTGATGCAACACTATGCTCTGCATAGGCAGCTGAACTGGGTCGACCCTCCCGTGCCCACACACAGCCCAACCCTGCACTGCTTCGGTGACTGATAGTTTCTTCTCAGAAGCTCGGACACTCGATGCTGTCAGAGGAAGTACTCGAGTCTGTTGCAGTTCTTGATAAAAAAGCTCACATGTGTCTGTGTGTGTCAGACAGATCGGAGACTCTGGGATTAGGCAGCACTTGTTGCATCATTCTTTTCAGAAGTGAACCTGAGTCACTTTTTTGACCAAATTAAAAGTTATTCAGAAGTTGTTTTTTATCATTGCAGCTGATGTACAGTAATTCACAAACCATATATAAAGGGCACATGGGAGCGTATCTTAAAGGAATATTCCAGGTTCACAAGCTGTCGACAGCATCCGTGGCATACAGTCAATTACCACACAATTATTTTTGGCTTGTCTCTCACTTCAAAACAAGCTAAAATTGTGTTCACAGTAATGCGTTGACAATGGAGGTCTGTGATGAATGCTAAAATACTTTTCAGAATATATCCACAATACTTTAACATGTGACTAGTGTGATAAAAAATAAATTAGTAACCTTGCTTATGCAAATACATATACAATTTCTATATATACAATTCCTGTTATGGCTAATGCCAGTAAATCCTATAACTTTGACATAATATGTACACACAAACTCCACATGTAGAAGTGAGTTCATAATGTATATCCAGATGTTTCGTCCACCTATAACATTACTGCCAGTGCTAAAAGGATGATTTATAAAACTTAACAGCTGCAATAACACACTTTGTACAGAAGAGATAAATATAAGCTCATTAATAAAATAAATAAAAACATTGCCCCCTTGAAAGCTACTGTCAAATCATGCATTTTTTTACAAGCTGAGGAAAGTTTTCTTTTTTTTAAAATACAAAATAAAACAAAATATAGAGCCCCAAGACAACATTTCAAACCCCATTTATCAAGCACCATAGATTATATTCACTAATAGTCCTCCTTTCCCTTGACGTCAACAAATCTCACAAGATTCAGATTCATTTTCACACCAGGTTTGTTCTGCATTGTAACTGAACGTAGCACATTTAAATATTTAGAATGGAGTATTTTTATACTCCCCACTATGAACTGTCACTGTATGGGCAAAAGGAGCATGTACATTCTTCAAAATGTGTCTTTTTGATTTTCAAAATAAAAGCATACAGGTTTGGAATGACATGAGGGTGAATAAATAATGACAGAATTGTCATTTTTGGGTGAACTATACTTTTAACTTCGTATGAACCTGAAAAAAAATATTTTAAGGGATATAGGGAGAACAATAACTGTGCCTTTTGTCTTAAATCTTGTCCAGGTCAAGTAATGTAAGGATAACCTACTCCTCCATTGCTACATACCACATCTTGTCATTCCTGTAATAATTGCTGATGAATGAGCAGTGTAAGCAGATTTTAAGCAGTCTTCAGCAGACACCCCCTTACGCTCTTCATAGGGCAGCTGAATTGGGGCGACCCTCCCGTGCCCACACACAGCTCAACCCAACACCGCTTCTGTGACCGACAGTTTCTTCTCAGAAGCTCGGACACTAGATGTTTATTAGAGGAAGTTCTCGAGTCTGTTGAAGCTCTTGATGAAAAGTCACTTTTAGTACTTAAAACTTTTATAAGGATGCTTCTTGAAATCCATTACCCAGAGTTCATTTTTGCCGGGAGCCCACATGTGTGTGTCTCAGACAGATCAGAGACTCTGGGATTAGGCAGCACTTGTTGCATCACTCTTTTCAGAAGAGAATCTGAGTCACTTTTCTGGCCAACTTAACTGTTCTTCAGAAGTTAAGTTTGTTTTTCATTGCAGCTGATGTACAGTAATTCACAAACCACATATAAAGGGCACATGGGAGCGTATCTTAAAGGAATATTCCAGGTTCACAAGCTGTCGACAGCATCCGTGGCATACAGTCGATTACCACAGAATTACTTTTGGCTTGTCTCTCACTTCAAAACAAGCAAAAATTGTGTTTACAGTAATGCGTTGACAATGGAGGTCTGTGATGAATGCTAAAATACTTTTCAGAATATATCCACAATACTTAAACATGGCTTTAACATGTGACTAGTGTGATTAAATCAATTAGTAACCTTGCTTATGCAAATGCATATACAATTCTTCAATTCCTTCCATGGCTAATGTTAGTAGATCCTATAACATGTACAAAATCCACATGTAACGTGAGTCTATAATGTATATCCAGATGTTTCGTCCACCTAGAACATTATTGCCAGTGCTAAAAGGATGATTTATAAAACTTAACAGCTGCAATAACACTTTGTACAGAAGAGATAAATATAAGCTTTTTATTTAAAAAAATACCCATTTCCCCCTTGACTTCCATTGAAAGCGTATTACTGTCAAAGCATGCTTTTTTTTTTTTACAAGCTGAGGAGTTTTCTTTCTTTTCCCAACAAAATGAAACAAAATACAAAATCTACATAGAGCCGCATATAACATTTCAAACTCCATCTATCAAGCTCCATAGATTATATTCACTAACAGTCCTCCTTACCCTTGACGTCAACAAATCTCACAAGATTCAGTTTAATTTTCACACCAGGTTTGTTCTGCATTGGTTCTTGTGTTTGTCACTGAATGTAGCACATTTGAATATTCAGAACGGAGTATTTTTATACCCCCCACTATGAACTGTCACATATGGACAAAAGGAGATAAAAATAAAAGCATATATGTTCGGAATACGTTCGGGTGAACAAATAATGTCAGAATTGACATTTTTGGATGAACTTTCCCTTTAAATTAGTATGAACCTGAAAAAAATCCTTTATACAGGGAGAACAACAACTGTGCTTTTTGTCTTAAATCTTGTCCAGGTTGGGTAATGTAAGGATAACCTACTCCCCCATTGCCCCGGCCCTCAGA